CATTTCACCCTATATTTTCCATTTCCAGCCATTCAAGTGGCATTCTGAGTGTCATGGAAAAAAATTTTTTTTTGCACCCTTAAATCCAATACTACTAACTCTACCTTCTTAGTGCCTCTGGATCATGGCCATTTCTCTCATCACTGTAGTTCAGGCCATCAACATTACTCAACCAAATTGCTGCTAAAACTACCTAATTTGCCTAAAGTTTTTTCCTTGTTATTTTTCTTGCTGCAATCAGCAAGCTTTCCAGATGTCCATATCTAATCATGTCACTGCTCTTCTTAAAGGACACACCACCTCTCCAGTGCATGCAGAATAAATCTCAATTGCCCTGACATAAAAGATTCTCAGTGGTCTGTATCTCCAGCTTCTTCCTCTTTACCCCTATTCATACTGAACTTCCTTCAGCTTCCTAAGAAAGTGTTATATCACTTTCTTATTTCTCAGACTTCACACATGGATATATTGTCTCTAACACTCTTCTTTGCTTTTATCCATTCAACTTTATTTACATCAACTGTATTTATCTTTTATATACAGCTTACAAGCCTACTTCATCTGGTGAGACAGCGCTAATTCCCTAGCCCTCTGCCTGTGTGTTCATGAACTTGCAGAGTGTTTACAACTGCAGCTTAAGCCTGGGTGCTTCTATTCGTCTATAAACCCTAACTTGATCTCCCTTGTCCCCCTAGCACTTCGCACACAGTGTGGAACATGCCATGTTCCCATTTCAGTATTTGTTAAATGAATAAACTTTGTAATTATCCCAATCTTATTCTAAGACATGTACTTAAAATTCAGTGTCATGAAGAAATTTTACTTATTACAAGTTTAAGTTTATTCTTTAAATAACTTTTTTTTAACTTTAAAAAAAACTTGAGAATTTCATACATGCATATAAGGTGTTTTGATCAAATCCATGCCCACTCCCTCCCCTCCAACACCTCCCATGTCTCCCCATCACTTTTTTCTGACAATTTTGTGTACTTTCTTTCTTTCTTTCTTTCTCTTTCTCTTTTTAAATATTTTATTTATTTTTATTTTATGCATATGCATGTATTGCCTGCATGTAGGTAAGTGCACCCGAGTTGTGCACTGCCCGCAGAGGACAGAAGAGGCTGTTGGATCCCCTGGAACTGGCATTATGGACAGTTGTTAGCTGCAATGTGGGTGCTGGGATTTGAACCTGGGTCCTCTGCAAGAACAACCAGTGTTTTTAACCGCTGAGCCATCTTTTCAGCCCCCTTTCTTTTTTTTAAATGGGGCTTTTTGCTACTCTAACATTCCCCCCCCCCAAAGAGGTAACCTTAAAATCTTTTAGGGATAAGAGCTCCCAGATACTTTTGACATTTTTGGCCTTTGGAACAAAGTGTGTTGCTAAGAGGCCCAAGGACATTTTGACTTTTAGCCAAGAAACTGACTACTTTTCTTTGGGGTCTTTTTACCCTAACTGCCTAACCAATTCCTACCTCCTATTCTTATCATGCCATCCTCTGAAGAATTTACCCAAATTGCAGATAGGGAATCAGGTTGCAGACTGCTCTGACTTCTTCCATGCTGAACAGGGACACAGGGTGAGGCAATTGGGGTACCCCTTCAGTGGCAAAAGAATCCCAAATTGCATAACTCTTATCTGTAGGGAGAAAAGAAAGTCCTTGATTGGTGAATAGGAGATGTGAAGGAGAAGTAAAGACAAGAGTAGTTAGTATTACAAGTTCTAGACAGGGAACCACAAAAAAAGTCAGAACGGGGCAAATTTCAAATGTTCCTATCAGAGTCCATTGGGATTTCTTGACAAGAGCTTCAAAAAGCATCCCTCTATTGGGTTTCTCCTCATTTTTCTTTTGTCTGCCAAGGCTGGACTCAAGAGTGATGGACTCAGAATTTGTTTTCAAGCACTTTGATAGCTGTTGGAATGGCTTAAAATTATGTTGTAATTTTAAGTTTATTCTTCAAATAACTTTTTAAAATAAGCTTCTTAGGACTAACATTCACCAAAAAGGAAAAAAAAAAAAATGGAGCACATTGGTTTTCCTAGTTGTAGTAGCACAAATTTGTTTCACTACTAGATGGCTTTTTTGAACAATACAATCCTTGAATTATCACATTAATTCTGATACGAAATCAAGAAACTAACAAAAACTTTGAGAAAGCAAGGTACAACATATTATAACATTATTATTGAATGTACTAGTCTAATAATCTATGGGATTAGTTAAAATGTACCCAGGTTAAAAACCACCTCAGTATGTCACATACACTATTCGGAGTTTTGTGAATGCAACTTCTTACACCGAGCCTTCATTCTGGTAGAAAGAGACAAATAATAATTAGATAAGCCAGTAAAGAAATAAAATGATTTTCGATGTTTGAAGTGAGGTTAGAAAAATAAATGAGGTGACATACAGACAGCAAGTGGGATGAGATAACTCTAGAGAGCTGGACTATTCTAGAAAAAGTAGTCTGAAAAGTGACATTTGAACGGAGGCCTAAAAGATGAGAAGAAATTAATTATACAAAAAAAAGTCAGATGCTGGGCACGGTGGCACATGCATTAATCCCACACTCAGGAGGCAGAGTCAGGCAGCACTTTATGAGATCAAGGCAAGCCTGGTCCATATAATGAATTTCAGGCCAGCTGGGGCTATGGGAGACCCTGTCTTTAAAAAAAAAAAGCCAATAAAGTAAAATGCTGCCAGTGGAGAAGAACAGCAAATGCAAAGGTCAGTGTGAAGAGGGAATAGACCTGTGTGATGACGATGCTGAGGAGAGGATGCAGTGGACTCCAGGAGCCAAGGCAATCAGAACATAAGTTGGCTGTTAAGATAATGTTTGCTTTCAGTAAAATATTTAAGACTATTTTCAGTGAAAGTCCAAAGTTCAACAGAGGAAATCATTGGACTATTTGAATATCCTAATTTTTTAAATACCATTTTAGCTCAAGAATGGCAAAATGACTACAGAAAAGGTAGAAATGGAGTCAGAGAGACCAGAAGTTAGAATGTTAGAGGACTACAGGTAACTAATGGCAGTGGCTAGAAATATATTTTCCATGAAGACAAAAGTGGAGAGTTTTTAAATGAGGAAGAACAGGACTTGCTGATGAAGAAAGGAAAGCTCAACGGGCACTAGGCTTTTCCCTTGAATAGTTGTTTACATTTGGTTGCTAGTAACTATTTGCTATGTAGATATGTCCAGCAGATGAGAGCCTATATAACCGAAGAGGTCAGAAAAAGGTCAGGCTAAAGGAAGAAGCTTGCAAGATTGTATGTAAAGGAAGGGACTAGATACTCAGTAGGAAAGAGCAGATAGGGAAAGAAAGAACCTGGAACCAAGGCCTAAAGTTCTCTGTCTGAAGTTGATTTGCTGTCTTTAACCTGGAATATTTTCAGTAAACTGGGTAAGAAAAGATTTGAAACTTTTCAGTGATTTTTCTTCTTTATGAAAAGTGAAGATCACAATCTTTACAGTTACAACTGTGTCAGGACTAAATACTTACTGTTTTGTTCAGAAAACTGCCATTTTAGTCAGGCCTGGTGGGGCAGGCCTATAATCCCAGCCATTCAGGAGGCTGAAGCAGGAGGGTGTTAAGTCCAAGGTCTGCCTGGGCTACTGAGTGAGTTCAAGGCTAGCCCAGGCAACTTAATGAGATTGTCTCATTTTATAAAAACTTAGCCATAATCAGCAGTTAATTTCTGATTTCCTGAGTAAAGCATGGTACTTTTTAGTTGTTGCTGCTGTTGTTTAATATTTTAAAAACTAAAAATAATCCTTTTAAAGTTTCCATTCTACTTGGAGGAGCGTGTGTGTGTGTGTGTGTGTGTGTGTGTGTGTGTGCTCGCACGCGCGCGTGTGCGTGTGGAGAGAGAGGGAGAGAGAGAGAGAGAGAGTAATTATCCTCAAATACCACTAACCAACATTGAAAACGTAAATGTCTTTTACATATGTACCCTAAAGATGTGAAGTAGGAAGAGAACGATCCATATTAAAACAAATCAGGAAGCATGAAAAGGAGTGAGTGTAGAGTTTAAATAATGGTCAGGAGGCCAGGCATGGTGCTGTGTGCCTTTAATCCCAGCATTAGGAGGCAGAAAGAGGTGGATGAGGCCAGCCTGGTCCACATTGTCAGTTGTCTGGCCAGCTAGGGCTACATAGTGAGACTTTGTTTCAAAAAACAAACAAAAACAAAGGAATGGACAGGACTTTAATGGAAAAATCTAAAAAAGATAGGACAGAAAATAACATAAACATGAGCTTAAAGGTTATATAAATGTTGATTTTTGAGACAAAGCCCACCTAAAGTGGGTGGCTTTAATTGGATATAAAATTAGAAAGATAAATTACACAAGATTTCTTGGAATTCTGAAAGCCATTCTCAGAAACTTGGACCATTTAGTCTAATAGCATAATGCTACTGAAAACTATTGTTCAAAGGAGGAAAAATAGAGAAATAAGCTAATGATTGTAATAGAGGTAAAACATTGGCAGAGTATGTAAATGCACTGTGCTGAGTGCCAATGTGCATTTCTTCACTTGAAGCTGATCACTAGAATAAATCTTTAAATTCTAAGAACTTGAATGTGATGGTAACACACAGTGGGAGAGAAAAACAAATGCAGGGGACATTTCAAAGGGAGGCTCAACTCGGGGAAAAGAGATGTGCATTTAAGACAAAGTAAGAAATGGAAGTTGGCTTTAATGGGTTTTTTTTTGGGGGGGTCGGTTTTTTAAGACCAAGTCTCCCTGTAGCCCCAGCTGGCCTGGAACTCACTACGTAGACCAGGCTAGCCTCAATCTCACAGAAATCCACCTGCCTCTGCCTCTCAAATGCTGGCATTGAATGCATGTGCCACCATGTCCAGCACTTGGTTTTATTTTTAACTCTGTGTGTATGTTACATATTGAGTATATTCTTTACCATAATCCCCCAATTCTCCCTCTTCCAGTTTTACATTTTGATCAGTTCTTGTTCTCTTTCCCCGCCCCTCGGTTAATAGAAGTGAGCTGAGTCGACAGAAACTTCATTCCCAGGAACTGCTTTCTCAGCTGGAAATGGCAAATGAAAAGATAGCTGAGGTAAGTTAATCACAACCTCCCCACCCTGGAAGTACTTTCTGCTGCTGCTTGATACACATGCTATAGAATTTTATCTGCACCAAACCCAAATTAATTCTGCAATTGGATATAACCACATAGAAATCATCCATAACCCTAAAATTCCACATGTAATGTAGTATAAATAAAGACTTTGAAAACCAGTGATTCATCATCTGTAAATGCTAAAAAGTAGAATTCCCACTTAGTGTTAATAGTATAACTTCTGCAGCTTTCAGAGAATATATTGAGATCCTCCTTATTCTTATGAATCTCTAAAATTATTTTACTTAAATCATTTTTCTTACTTTGTTTTAGTCCATCATAAAAGACAAATCAAAAATACTTTTGCCTAATGGAATATACTAAAATAGTATTGAGATTGATACTATAGAAAAAGGTGTAACGAGTCCTTTTTTTTTTTTTTTTCCTGGGTTATAATTGGAGTTTCCTAGAGCTCTATTTCTTCACTTATGTTCTAACTTCAAATATTTTTGGTAAAGGACTGGAGAGAGAGCTTGGTAGCTAAGAGTACTTGCTGCTTTTGCAGAGGACCTGGGTTCAGCTCCCATCACCCACATGGTGACTAACAACCACCTGTAACTCCAGTTCCAGGGAATCCAGTGCTCTCTTCTGACCTCTGCAGGTTTGCACGCACATGGTATACATACTCACATGCAGGCAAAGCACTCATACACATAAAATAAAAATAATTTTTTAAATGTTTAATGTTTTGTTAGCATTTCATCTGTAAGTTATATGGCCCATTCTCTGTCATCTCCATGAGCAACGTAGTGAGACTAGTGCTCTTAAATTGAACATCATGGTATTGATATGAGCCACTTTGAAAACAATTAAAGATTTTGTACTGAAATGCTCCACTTGCAGAAATATACTGTAAGTAGAAGGATTTTCAATATGATGATGTTAACAATACTAAAAATCAAAAAGAACCAAAACGATCAGATTTATCCAGTCTTAACCCTGTATTAATGATTATGGTAACCACATAGAAATATATACATTATATATAGTCTGTTATAGATAATTATAGATGATGGGATTTCTCCCCTAAGTTTTCTCTAATGTATGATGTGTCTCATAAAATTTAAAGCTACTTGAGACTGGAGAGATGGCTCAGTGGTTAAGAGCACTGACTGTCTTGTAGAAGAATCAGATTTGATTCCTAGCATGCACATAGTGGCTAACAATCATCTGTAACTCCATTTCTGGGGAATCCAGCACCCTCTTCTAATTTCCGAGGGCATTGTACAACACAGGTGCACTTATGTACATGCAGGCAATACACTCATACACATAAAACAAAAATAATAAAACAAAAAAATTAAGGCTACTATTTAAACAAGATGGTAAATTAGTACATCTAATATAGGTCTGTTCATAAAATTTTATTTTGAAGCCAGGTTGATGACACACATATTTAATCCTAGCAGTCAAGGGCAGAGGCAGGTATGTCTCTTGAGTTCAAGGACAGCCTGGTTTTTGTAGCAAGTTCCAGGCCAGCCAGGTCTACATAATGAAACCCTGTCTCAAGGAGGAAGAATGTTAATTTTCCTTTTGGACATAGTAAACTCATTTTAACCAGATACTGTCATTTCGGTGTTGTATGTTACTGGGCATGATGGTCACTGTAAAGAACTATATAGTTCTTCATAGGAAGGGCAGCTATTCCTGACTACCTTCGTATTATTCTCTGAATTTAGATAAATGCCAGAAAGCCTATATAACAATTCTGTTTTTACAAAAATATCTTTCAGATGCAGGTAAGTATGGAGAAAGGTTTTTTCAAGACAGATAGGTATGGAGAAAGACAATGGGTTTTCAGTTGATAGAGCTGTTTGCTGGTTTTTTTGTTGTTTTGTTGTTGTTGTTTCTGTATGACAATATATATTTGTCAATTGGTATCTGTGATGTAGTTACTGCTATAACAGAGTATCACAAACATAAAATATGTCCTCATAGTTCCAGAAGGTAAGAAAATGTCCACAATATTGGCTCTCTGGGAGACTTCGCTCCTGCCTCTCTCTCATAGCTCTGCATTCCTTGGCTTGTGGGTAGTACTTTCTCTGTGTCTTCATGTTGTGCCCATTCTATGTATTTAGCTTTGTGTCCAACTTTCCATTTTAATGAAGACATCAGTCATGGATAATGGACAACTATAATCACCTTAATCATCTGCAAAAACTATTTCTAAATAAGGTCACATTCACAAGTAGAGTGTATTAGAAATTTAGCATTTTGGGGGAATATAATTTAATATACAGCAAGGCCTAATAACTGTAAGCTCTAATAACTTTTGTAGGATACAGATGTCTTGGGAAGTATACAGACACAGTTCACCCCAACCCTTTACTGAAAATGTAGTCAATCATAAGGTCTAACACTTTCTGTGGTTCTGAAGTAGAGATTAAGCATCTCAAGGTTAACAAATCAAAAACTCAAAGTCTTGTTCTCGTTTGTAGTTCACTTTCCTTTTGGATTTGTCAAATCACTAACTTTGATGATAATGGAATGAGGAAATAATTTAGGAGAAGTAAAACCAACTTTGTACTTTGGCACTCATATCTTGGGAAGTGTAAATTTTGAAATGATGTTATCTTTATAAGTAATGAAATGATGTCCAGATTCTTGATTGACTATTCCATAACACATGTCCATGTAACATTTGGATTTTAATTATATTTCCCCTTAAAAGAATGAAAAGTTAATTATGGAACATCAAGAAAAAGCCAACAGACTTCAGAGGCGCCTAAGTCAGGCAGAAGAAAGAGCTGCATCAGCTTCCCAGCAGGTAGGAAATGTCCTCATTATCCAAAGATGATAAACATCCTGCATAGATCAAAGATGAGCAGAGCTCCTCAGATGTTCCCAGAGAACCAGTAGTTTGATTGTTATTTGACCTATTTAAAATTAGTCTCTTTAGGACTTACAGTTGACAAAGTATACTTTATATACAAAATAAACTTTGGTCTCCTCCATCTTCACATATGTGGAATTACAGTGTCCAATGTAATAGCTGATAAGCATAGAAAACTTTTTAACTGAAATTAAATTAAATAAAAACTTGAGGTCCTCAGTCATACTAGCTAGATTTAAAGTGTACAATAGCTATATGTAGCTAGCATAAAATTGGACAACATAGATACAGAATATTCCTATTTTTACAAAAAGTTCTTTTAGATAACACTGCATTGTATATAAAATTAACCTAAAATTAGGAAAGTATTCACTGTTACTTAAAAATGACATTTTTCTAAGGCTGGGTGTGGTGGCACATGCCTTTAATCCTAGCACTTGGGAGGCAGAGGTAGGCAGATCTCTGTCTACATAGTGAGTTCCAGGTCAGCTGGGGCTACAGGGAGACCCTGTCTCAAAAAGACCAAAATAAATAAATAACATTTTTCTGAATATAGTGTTTCAAATTGTACTTTCCTTTTTATTTTATCCTCTAAGTAGAAATTATTTCAGGTACCAGGTTACCTTTATTAAATGCATATTTATATATGACCAAATAAATCAAGATATAATATAAAAAATTGCCCTTTGAAAGTAGGTTGAGAAATGTGTCAGTGAAATTCTAAAGTAAAGAGTAATTTCTCACGGTGTATATGCATAATATAAATGAAATGAGCTGTTTTTTCTAAAGAGGAGCAGCAGTTCTATTTAGGAATGAAAAGAGACCAATCAGGCAGGCGTGGTAGCACATGCCTTTAATCCCAGCATTTGGGAGGCAGAGGCAGGCAGATCTCTGTGAGTTCAAGGCCAGCCTGTTCTACATCGTGAGTTCCAGGCCAGCTGGGGCTACAGGGAGACCTTGTCTCAAAAAAACCAAAAAGGAAAAAAAGAAAAGGACCAGTCAGTTCAGTGTTCATGCATACAAGAACCAAACCGTTGAAATAGGTGGATGGTTTGAGAGATGAATGGATGGATGGATGGAGGGATGGATCAGACAACAATTAACATTTGGCTATAAATGTATTATTTCCATAAAAAGGTATAATTTTTAGCTACTAATGACATGGCATTGTGCTATTAAGTAGCCATTTGACTGAACAATTTCATCTTCTCTAAGCTGCAGTCTCTTCATATTTGTTAAAGACTAACAATACCTCCCTCATACAATTATTGAAGGATACATAGAATTGAAGTATAAATCATTTAGTGTAGTGGTGCTACTTCTTTGGAGATATAGGAAATTTAATTTCTTTACAAATCTGTAAAGTTTTACAGTTACTGTCTTAGATGGGGTCTAACTTTCTTGCCCAGGCTTACCTCAAACTCTTGGGCTCAAGCCATCCTTCTGCCTCATCCTCTTCAAGTATCTTGGATTATGAGCATGAGCCACTTTGTGTTAACCTTTTTAAAGGAATATGGTAAATGAAATGCCTACTTAAAATCAACTACCTTGAATTACGTAGTAAAAAAAAAAAAATGTAATTCTGGAACCTTAATTGTATAATCCAATTGACTACCTTTAGTTTCCCTCCTAACAAAATTAAACCTAAGAAGCCCAACATTTTTTTATTTAAACTCTCCAGTGGCAAAGTTTCTTTCTTTTTGAGAGCCCCTTTTCAATGTTTTTTCACAAGCTACACAAATTTTTCTGTAACAACAATTTCCTTAAGGTTTTCTCCTTCCATTCTTACATTCCTGTTTAAAGATGAGTAATAATCATTCATCAGACACCCTATACATACAAAAAAAATTTCGTATTTGAATTTTTTTTTCTATTTTTTAAATTTATCTTTATGTGTATGAGTGTTTTGCCTGCATGTCTATCAGTATACCATATGCGTGCAATGCCCATGGAGGCCGGAAGAAGGCATTAGATCTCCTGGAACTGAAGCTTCTGTTGGTTTTTAGCCACCATGTGGGTGCTGGGAACCAAATGATCTTAACTGCTCTTAACTGCCCCAACAGTAGGGTAATTTTTAAAAATCTATACATGCATGATGCCAAATTCAGCCAGGCCTGGTGTCACATGCCTCGGGAGACTGAAGTAAGATGATCATAAGGTCAGAGCCAGCCTGGACTACATGTGGATACTCACCTACCCACCTCCTAATATGAAAAGAATTAACTACATAAATTAACTACATAAATTTCAAATTTCAGCATAAAAAAATTCATAAACTTGGAAAGATAGCTTAGTGGTAAATCAGTTGCCTAGAATACACAAGGCCTTGTCTTTGACTTCCAGCCTCATGAAAAAGGGATTATTTACACCAATGACAAAGCCTGAGAAAATATTTGTAACACATACAGCAAAAAGCTAAGTATCTTAAATACACACACACACACACACACACACACACACACACACACACATAAAACCTGAGTTAAAAAAGAAAGTGCTGCAGTCCAACAGAGAAGTAGATTAAGAACTTTTTAGAGAACAAAAAACAGGTTACTTCTGACCATTTAAAAAGACTTCATCTTCCAACGTAATACAAATATAAATAAAAATTCAATCATATCATTTTCACCTTATCAGATCATATTTGATAATGTGTTGTACTGGCACTTTCAAAAGTCATTGATAAAAGTGTACATTAGTACAGGAGTACAGTTTGGCAGACCCTTTCAAAAATGTGGGGCCAGGGGAGATCACTCGGTTATTGAGGTGCTTGCCGTGCAAACATGATGACCTGAATTAAATCCCCAAAACCCATAAAAAATGCCAGACATGGTAGAGTGAGTTTGTAATGCCCACTCTGGGAGGTGGAGACAAGAGACTCCTTAGGGCTCACTGACCAGTCTAGCCTAATTGATGAGTTCCAGGTTAATGAAGACGTATCTTAAAGAATGTAGACAGCATTCCTGAGGATTATCTGAAGTTGTCCTCTGACTTCCACATGGGTGCACACATATGCAAGTACACATGCACAAATGTGCATAAAAGAAATTTGAAATGTGTATAACCTTGACCTATACTTGCACCCTGAAATGTCTCTTCAAGGAAACAAGCATGTAAAGATACTAATTTCAGCACTGTCTCTAATTTTAAAAGATTAAAATCATCTAAATACCCAAGAGTAGGGGACTAATTAAATTACAGAGTATCCGTACACAGAAAAATTTGGAGAGATTAAGAAAAATAAAGTAGCTCTAATATACAATTATTTCTAAGGCAGTGAGGAAAAGTGAATATAGACCTTTTTTAACAAGGGTTGAGTATATATACATACATACACATTGATCCTTTGTTATTGTGTATACACACACACACACACTCATTTAGGCTATATCTAGGAATCTATTTCAAAACTGCAAATAGCTGGACATGATGGTTCTTGCCTATAATCTCAGGACTCAGGAGGCCCTGAAGCAGAAGAATTGCAAGGGTCAAAGCTAGTCTGAACTACAGAGACCCTGTCTCAGGAAAAAGAAAACTGAAAATGGTTGTATCAGAAGAGAGAATTGAAAGTGAAGGACAGTTTGGGGAAGGATACTTCCTTATGCTATGTAGTGCTTTGTGTTGTTATTTTTATCACATATACATGTAAATTAATCCCAGTTAATATTCAAAGGTTACATCCTTGTTAGATTTGTCTTACTATGATCCATAATGATCTGATTACCAACTCTGCATTAGTTTCTGCTTTAGGTACTTTTCTGATTAACTTTTATCTAGATGTTTGGAATGTTTGGGAATTCAGATTATAATTACTCTGAGCTATAGACTATCATATTCAGCAAGCATTTCTCTAATGTGATACAGACACTTTAAAGTCCCAAGAGTAAAACAGAAATGAACAACAAAAAAGACCTCTTTTTTAAAATCTTTTTAAAATTTTTTTAGAAGAAGCATTTCATTACAGCTTTACTGAGTTCAATATTGTATAACTGTATTAAAAAAAGTCCTCTTTTAAGACCTCTTCCAATCCATCTGTTTAATAGCTGTTGGTTTTGATATATTATACTGGACTTTGTATTAGTATAATATTCTTCATAGAAAAGGTAACTACTGACCAATTGCTTATTTTAATTGCAGCTCAGTGTGATTACAGTGCAGAGAAGAAAAGCAGCCTCCATGATGAATCTGGACAATATTTAAAAATATCCATAGTTCACTGACAGAACTGTAGAGTGGGTAAAGCTGTTGGACGAAAGTGTCTTGACATGGTGAAGCCTACAGAGAATGGTGAAGGCTTGTGTGATTTTGCATAAGCATTTTCCATTCTGTTTTGAGAGTTACTGGAAAACAAAACAGTGACAGCTTTCTGTAAATAAAAAGAAAATATACAGTCCTCTATTTGAGATTAAATGGAGAAATAAAGCCAGCTGAGAAGAAATTATTGCTTTCATCAATGTGCCTATTTTTAATTCTTTTCTTTCCCCCTTTGGAAGAACATAATCATTTGAAAAAGAAGTTTAAAAAACATCCTAGAACTTGATATTTCAAACTCTAAGATTTGGAAACTATATCTAATTGTTATTCCTAAGTCATTTTTATAGTTCTTAAGATCTATCTTATTAATTCATAATTATAATAAATTATACCCTTTCCAAAATGTTTCTGTCATGTATTTTAATGCACAATTGTAATGATTCATATTTAACTTGCATGGTTTTAAGTATTAATAGAACTTGATATTGAACAATATAGAAGGGTGTTTTTTTTTTTTACCTCAAATTAGGTAGAGATCTAAACTTCTACGAATGTATAGCTTTGACTTTTGTCCTGTGACTCTTCATAAATCCATAGACTTACTCCTTTTTTCTGGTTTGAGCTTGCTGCATATTGGTTTCTGTTGATTACAGAGATAGGTTTACATCTGAGTAACTGTTAAAAGACTATTGCAGTCTTACAAATGAGTTGAAGTTAGAGGCAATGTGAAAATATCTATGCATACATATTCAACCTCTCAAAGTTTAGGAAAGGTGCTAACAAACTGGCATAATCATAGGAATCTTTGTCAAGGAGCTGAGAATTGAAGCCATTGGGGATCTAGGAGTTCACATTGGGGCCTTTCATGTTGTGGCTAGCTGCTTCAGTCCCTTTCCATACCACTCCTCCCCTCCATTCCTTATGCGCTAGACTTGGTGGCCTTCTTTTAATTCCAGTGGTATGTCATCCTTCCTCCCACCAACAAAGCCTCTGCATGTATTTTTGCATTTATACATATCCTTCAGATTTCAAACATTAGTTCCTTAGAATAGATTTCTGTAGTCTCAACTAGCTTAATTCCCCCATGTTACAATGTTCTTAATAGTGTGCTTTATTTTTTCCTTCATTGCACTTGTCAATAATTGTAGTTAACTCTTTTTGAAACTTTTTACTCTTCGACAGACTGGAAGATACCTGAGAGCAAGATAGAGTCAACTCTCATTCATCTGTGTATCCTTAGCATCCAGCTGAGTTCCTGGCACATTGAGGGTATGGAATAACTGTCCATAAACTAAGTTTTTAAGAACAGAATCATATAGAATGCACCATTTGTTAGATGAACTCAAGACTCCTCTTTGTAGTCTAGCATTAAAAGCCTCTCCAATTCACTCTCTTCCTAAATACTAGATTCTCCAGAAGGATAAGCTCTAGAATAAAACAGTATGTTGCTCTGACCTCTGAATTTGAACAGTCAAGCTGTGTTTAGCAGCAGAACTAAATACGATGGTATTTTTCTTTCAGGAAAGTTTGTTTGTTAATAATTTCTAATGTGAAAATGTAGTGAAGCTTTCAACATTTCTCATATTGACCAATCTTCATTTACAAAGACAGTATCATTTCTGTGAATTGTGTTTTAGGAGACAGGGAAAATGAATAGGAAAAGGAAAAGAAATTATATAGATCTGAAATTGAGACCAACACAAGCTGGTTCATTTTATTTATTTGTGTTTCTTTATTGTGTCTCCCTGAGGAAGAAAAGAGACATGATTACTCTTTCTTTCCTTTGTATACAAATATGCAAATTGGGACAGCCAATAATCTTCCAATTTTTCTATGATATGAGAACTGTAACTTTCCCACATATGGGAAACTTAGCCATTCATTTATTCAGCAGATACTATCTCATATTGCACATCTTGTCAGAGTAACTCTCAAATTGAAATGAAAAATACTTTAAGCATTGCACTATAAATCTTGTCTTTGACCATATCACATTTGATAATTTTTTTCAGAAATAACAAATTTAGCTAGACCTGTAATTCTAGCATTCAAGAGACTGAGACAGGAGGATGACTGAATGCAAGACTAGCCTGGGCTACATAGTGAATTTCAAGTTAGCCTGAGCTATAGAGTGAGCCCTGTCTCAAAACAAAAAAATAATAAAAATAAGAAAAAAGGAGTGTTTTAAAAAGTAAAGTAAGTTTGTAGTGAACTTTTTACAAAATAATTTATCAAAAATATATTTGTTTAGTTTATCTAACAATGTGTGTTAAACTGACAAGGTTACTTATGAAATGTTTTCCTTACCAGTCATTAAAACATAAAAATATATAGCATTCAAATAATATTAATACTGTTACTCATAAAGAAAAATAACTATATAATTCCTAGATAAAGTCATAAGAAAGAAAGGCCTCTTGAAAGTAATTTTTAACAGTACTAAGACCTTTCAGCCCAATAATTCACCATAAAGCATTACAATGGATTGGTGATATAGCTCAGTGGTAGAGCATGCACCTACTATACATGAGACCCTCTATTTCAATCTCCAGTACTGAAAAAAATAATCCATATGTTCCACATTCCTACAGATGCAACAGTGTGTACACTGTGACCCTTCTCATCTCTTCTCATCTCGCATCGTTCCTTACTTGTTAACAAATCAGCATCCATCAGCTATCATTACTCAGTATGTTTTCAATCTGGCCCTGTATTGCTGCTTGAACCTTATCCTAAGAACACCAAGAAAGACCTAGCCTTCTGCCTTGCAAAATGTCCATTTAGTTCACACAAGTCAGGTTTCCCATTATCTAACCTAATAATCCTAACCAAGAAGAAAATCATTCTTTCTTTGTAACTCCATGTCACATCCTAGTAATAATCATGGCTTGTTCCTTTCCTTCCTTTGATAAAGCATCATAGAAATTTCCATTTACTATTTTCATTCAGTGGTAGCCCAGTCCTTTTTTGAAACAATAAAAGTACCAGAAAAATATAATATGGTATGTAAGGAAAACCATTAACACTTAGATCTGTGAAGATTAAAAATAAGAGACTAGGGGGCTGGAGAGACAGTCAGCAGTTAAGAATACTGGTTGTTCTTGCAGAAGACCCGAGTTCGAATCCTAGTACCCACATGGCAGCTAACAGCTGTCCGTAACTCCAGTTCCAGGGGATCCAACAGCCTCTTCTGACCTCCGCGGGCATTGCACTACACGGGTGCACTTAACCTACATGCAGGCAATACATGCATACACATAAAATAAAAAATGATAAATAAAATTTTTAAAAAAAAGAGAGAGAGAGAGAGACTCGAAGCTGGAGAGATGACTCAACAGTCAAGATCACTGGCCCAGATTCGGTTCCCAGCACCCACATGTCTAACAACCATCTGTAACTCCAGTTCCAGGATATCAGGTGCCTCTTCTGGCCTCTCCAGGCATTGCATACATGGCTGCACAACATACATGCAGGCTAAACACTCATACACATAAAATACATAAAATTTTTTAAAAATAGAAAAAAAAAGAGGCTACAATCTCCTCATATGTAAACTATTTTGGAGGATAAAAAATGAGAGAAGTAATGACACATTTTTACTGTCTAAAAAAATTCATTGGAAAATGTGTCCCTGGTTCTATGATAAATATACTCATCCATATTACTAGTATATATTTATTGATAAACTATCAAGTACATTCATTATTACATTATCATGCATAATCCAACACCACTGCTAGGTAGAAATTATTTCCTTTCCAAAGATGGAAAATGTGGCAAAAGTTAAATGGTCTGTACGAGTCATATCACTGGCAAATGACATGGGCCGTTTTGGAACCAGAATTCCTTCTGCTCTGCAACATGGCATCTTTCAATTTGCAGTTATCTGTTCTTTTGCCACATTTCCCATTTGCTGGCAGTGATACAGTAGTAGCCTTTATAGGTTCTCTAAGTCCTTGGGTTGGAACTCACATAAGCAGCAGGATGTTCTCCTAGACCAGATGTTCATTTTTTTTTTTTTTTTTTTTTTTTTTTTGAGTGAGGTCACAGATCCACATGCTTTACAAGAATGCAGGTTAAAAATAGAATTTGGAAACTGTTACTTCCATTATTTCATTTATCAACAAGTCTGAGCTGTGATCCTATTTTGAAGTGTCTTGTTTGTTTGTATTGGTATATATTCGTTGTGCATACTGCTGAGTTTGTGAACAAGATTTCTCTCAAGTATGTCATGTGTTTTGATCATATTGACTCTATACTCTCCAACTGTTAATCCCCCACTCCCTTCACTTTCTTCCTATTACACATACTTGCTTTGCTCAGTCTCCCTCCTGCTTTCATATAAATGGTTTATCTATACAAAATCTAGGATCCACAAAAAAAAGTGATATTTGTCTAAGTCTGACTTACTTTAGTTAATATGATGATTTCCAGCTTTATCTGTTTTCCAGCAAACTACATAATTTCATTCTTTGGCTAAAGAAAACCACATTATGTATATACATCACATTTTCTTTAGCTGTTATGAGTCCATAATTTCTCACATCCACTATTATGAGTACAGTAAACATAGATGTGTATCTCTATGGTATGTTGACTTCAAGCCTATATCCAGAAGTGACATAGCTAGGATCTTATTATAGTTCTCTTTTTAGTTTCTTGCAAAATCTATATACTGATTTCCATACTGGCTGGATTAATTTCCATTCCTACCATTTTTATATAAAGGTTCCTTTTCCCTGCTCTTACCATTAATTTTTATTGTACAGCGATGGTAGCTGGGGTAAAATGGAATTTCAATGTATTTTTAATTTGCGTTTCTTTAATGACTAAGGATGTTGAATTTTTTTTCATGTTTATTGGCCATGTACTTCATCTTCTGAGAACTGTCCATTCATTAGCACATTTTTTATTGAATTGCTTGGTTTGGGG